TTCAGAAGGAAGATGTCCAAAGCAAGGAGAGTAATTGCATTGAAAACATCCCAGAGGAGCTTTCGGGGGACACTAGCCCCCACAGGCCACAGCCCAGATCTTTGCCTACTGGAGACTGGCAGAGGACTTCCCCTAAGTGTCTGGTGTGACATTTCCCTATCTCCACTAGCATCTAGGAGCAACTGTTACAGAGGAACCTAGATGAGGTTTCATCCAGTCTGATAACTCCTAGATTCCTCTCTTACCGCTAACGGTGCATTGAGGGTTTATGCAACACACTGCTGTTGTGTTTGTGACATCTTTCATCCTTTGGCTGATGGGAAAGAAAAGATTCAGAGGCTTAAGTGGCTCGTGTCCATACAAAACATGGCTGTCTGCCTGCTGTTACCTGCAGAGGCTTACCAAGACTGATTCCCTAGACCAGAACATTTGGTTTCTTGCAAGAGCTATTAGCTGGGTTTGCTTTGCTCTGCACCCTGGAAGAGGCCACCCCATGGACCACTGTGATGCTCCTGAAGCAGGAAGGGGAAGCTCCACAGTTTTTCCCAGCATGCACCAAGACAAGCGTGGTTTGGAGGAGCAGCTGGTACAGATGGGCAAACAGGGAGCTGCATTGTGGGGAAAGCCAATGCCTCGTTACTACAGCTTGAAACATGGCTGCACCAAAATGCCTCCCCTTGTCTCATAAAGGGACCCACTGATAAAACACCCTCTGTCCCAGCCAACACGGCCCTGCCTGCACTGGACCAATTCAGAAGGATTTGCACTCAAATTCCATTCCCTTCCCTGTGAGCGTTGGTATCAGGTAGATCCATTGCTTGGAAATGACCTGTTTTTTCTAGATGCAGGTTTTTAAAAGGATAAAAGGCAGGGGTATGAATGTTTTAGGCTGGTTTTCTTTAACCAACATGGCTGCAGATCTGGAGGCCAGAACGTGAGTGTAGCTGCACCCTCCACATCACACAGCCATTGTGGTGCTGCCCTGTGCTTAATTATTCTCTATGGGAAGGGAGACCAAAATGCCACGGACGGCAGGGCTCAGGCTAGACCCCAGTGAGGATGCTATCAGAACACCTCCCCAAAATGAACATCCCTCCCGTGCCTTTCTGGTTTAGCCTGAGGCCTGGAGAAAGGGGTTTCCTCGCTCTTATGCATATCCTGATCACGTGCCCAAGTCCTAGCCCTGCTCAGGGAGAATAGTACCCACGGGGCAGCTTTGGTTCATGGTCACAACAGGTGAATCTGGAGCCAGGAGGGCAGAGACCTCCCCAGCACCCGGCTACCAGCTGCCAAGCAGGCTGTGATGCCAGCCTTGGCCATTTTCAGGGGGCCTAGGCCAACTTGCAGGAGTATGGCTAAGCAGAAGGCCCCAAAGCTTGTTTCTGAGTGACCACAGTGTGAATCTTTGCAGATGTGACCACTAGCTTGGCCAGCAAAGTAAAGGAAGCCAGCCACATGTCTAAGTAAACCATGCACACGATACAATTAAACAAAGCACAAGGCTTGAAAGAAAACATTATAAGGGACGGCCATGCACTAAATGATCCAAATATACTACATCATAGTTTTATCTTAGACTATTAGTTATTGATGTCACCAAATGTATGAGATGCTATTTTGCTATAGTTGATATATTTTTGTGACAGTGCTTAGATCGCTTGTAAAAACAATGCAGCCATGTCAGAGAAGACCATAAACTAAAGCAAAGAAGAAACAGGCCAGTGTTGAACAGCACTCCACAGTGGGGCAGGAAAGGAGATAAGAAACCCCAGGAGGTCCCAGGACTTAGTGCTGCCATGAAGGGAGAATGCATGGATGAAAAGGTGCAGGGATAAGTGGTGCCAGTACCTGAGCAGGAGGCTCCCGAGAAGGCAATGAAGGGGATGCCCTCAAGGTTGGTGTGTGCCAGGGTCTCCCTTAGCTTGCATTGCAGGTGTCCATAGAAGGCACCAGCTGGATCTGTGCACCAGTTTGGACTAGAGGCCTATCGGATGCACATTGTTTGGGTGCAATGTCTTGTGTCGTGTCATGGTCATGGGTCATTTTATGTAAAGTTGAGATTGTGAAGTGTATGGGAGAGTTTGGATAGGGCTGATCCTGCCTCAGGCAGCAGGTTGGACTAGATGGACACAAGGTCTGGATGGTATAGGATGGTTTGGACAGGAATGATACTGCCTCAGGCAGGGGTCTGGCGTAGAACATGAACTCTGGGCTGTCTGGGATGATTCAGCTTGGCCAGATCCTGCCTTGGGCTAGGGGCTGCACTGGATGCCACCTCCACTGGTCCCTTCCAGCCCCCTTCTCCACTCTCCATCCCCACTATCCCTGGTGTTGCTGGCAATCCCCCAGGCCCACTCCAGCTCCCTGCCTTCTTTCCCCACCACCCCCAATAGCCCTCAAGAGAGGGATCCTTCCACCCCCATGCCAAATTAGCAGACCCAACCCTTTCCCTGCCAGAACCACACCCATAGCCCCCCTCCCCAACATACCCAGTAGGGCTGTGCAAAATTTCTCTGGGTGTTTCGTTTCAAAGCTGTTTTGATGTGTTTCGAGCTCGAAACAGTGAAATCAAAAGGAAACAAAAGGCTTTGAAACAGCTTTGAAACAAAACGAGGGCACTCCAAATGTTTCAAAAGTATTGAAACATGTCGAGTTTCAAAGCCAGGCTTGCTTGCAGCTAAACAGTAACTAAGGAGAGGGAGAGGGGGGGAGAAGGACTGCTCTCATTTTGACATCTAACTCCCTGTTTGATTCCCCAGCTCTCTGATTATTTCCCCAGCTCTTTCTGGGGGGTGCGGGTCCCCGGATCTGCACACGGGATGACAGAAGACTGCCACTGCCAGCGAGTGATAAATGTTTTGTTTTGAACAGCTTGAGGTGCAGTTTCCCAGACACCCCTGCTCCTATCTCCTTAAAACTTGGCAAACATCATACCCTCAGAAGGAGCTACCATCCCTGCAATTTTTATCTGAATCAGGCAAGAAATGACAAGGTTATAGGCATTTTCATGAGTCCCCATTATAGCCTATGGGCAAAACGTTGAAATGCGTCGAAACAGAGAAACAGTTTCGATGAAACGAAACGGAACAGTGCTTCGAAACAGGAAAATGAAACATTGTCTCCTGGAAAGGGGAAAATGGAAGTCAAAATGAAACAGTGCTGTTTTGCGCAGCCCTAATGCCCAGCACCACCTGGCAGGGAGGAGCTGCTCCATGGGCCCTCTTTGGGGCCTGCACAGGTGCTGCATGAGGTGGGCAGATGTGGTGCCCAGCATGTGCTGGCAGCAGAGCAGCAGGGCACCGACAAAGCTGTTGTGCATGTGGACGAAGCACTGCTCCAGGTAGAAGGCATGCAGGTCCCAGAACAACGGTTGTGTGCACACCTCGAAGCGAAGCAACACGTGCAGCTCACGCTGGTGATGACAGCATGACATGGCCAGCCCCAGGTAGGCATGCAAGTGGCAGCTCAGCCTGGCCGGAGGATTGCCATATAGCTCTGCCTGCTCTGAGCTTGACTGGGGTCTCTTGAGTGTGGATTGACAACCTTTCATAGAAGCAGGACAGTGGCTGATGGGGTCCCCCTGCTTTATCTGTGGCAAGTTTGGGTGTCTTGTGGTGTGCCAGGGGTGCCAGTAGTTTTAGTAAGAGTTTAGATGATGGGTTTATCTGGGATGGTTTGGAGAGGGCTGATCCTGCCTCAGGCAGTGGGGTTGGACTAGATGTGACCTCTGGAGGTCCCTTCCAGCCCCATTTCTCTACAATTCTGATTCATCTCCACATCCCCAAGGCTTGCTGCTTGCAACCATGCTGGTTTAGCACAGACATGTGCAGGGGTTGGACTGGCTGCCCCTGGAGGTCCCTCTACATGGTCAGTTTATTTCAGGATGAAGGAGATGAAGGGAGACACAACAGCAGTTTGCAAATATTTTAAACCAAGTCTTCAAATCAAGGGCAGTGATTCTTCTGCTTCGATATAGTGCCATTAGTCCCATAGTCATTATAATTAAATGCATGGCTCTCATTCAGATTCATAAAGCAAAATCAAGTCGTATTGAACATCTGGACAGTGCCTCCAATACTTCAGTCAGTCATTTATGCATCTGAGTTAATATTACTACACTGGAGTTAAGGCTTTATCTAGAGATAAAAACAGTCTGCGGGGCTCTGAAGTAGAAAAGAGACATTATCTGGAACAGCTAATGGACAAAACTCCAGAAGAAAGGATAGTTTGAATAATGGGACATCAAGAGCCATTAGAAAGGACTGAAGGTGTGGACTGGAGAGAGATTAGCAGGAATCCAGGAGATGACAACGAGCCAAGAAGTCCATTGACTGCCTCAGCCCTGCCTGAATAGAAATGCCACTGCCTCTCCCAGGCAGTTGGTTTTAAAGTTTGGATGGAGCAGCAATCAAAGGGGTTGCAACTGCACCATTGCACCCCCCTGCATCCGCCCGTGCAGGTTGTCCAGAGAACCGGGGCATCTCCATCCTTGGCAGCTTTCAAGAGCAGTTTGGACAGACACTGGGCTGGGATGGTTTAATCGGGGCTAGTCCTGTCCTGAGCAGGGGGCTGGATGAGATATGACCTCATGAGGTCCCTTTCGGCCCCATTTTCCTATGATCCCATGATCCCAGCTTGTGGTATTCCCACCTGCACCACTCCCACAACTTTCGTGACCCCTGACTATTTGGCATCTGGTGGGTGCTGGAATAAGGCAACCTTCCTCTCACCATCTCTGCCTCCTGGCAGGAGGGTGTGTGCATGGAAGTGGGAGCATTTAAGGGCATGCAAAGGTAGAGGGGGATCCCCCACAATAGGGGGCTGCTTAGAGGGCTGGGACCCTGCTGAAATGCCCTGCCAATCTCCAGAGCCCCACTTCTGCCTAGATTGAAGCTGATACTTATAGGAGGAGGGACCTTTTCACTGCTTTTCCAGCCCTTGTGCTACGGACATCACTGGCAACTCCAAGGGGTTTATTATCCTGAGGGGTAAATGGGGGCTGTGTGGAAAGAAACACCAGTGGACGTGACTTTATTTGTGCAGAACCACTGGATGTGACTTTATTTGCCGGACACTCACAGCCCTGCCAGGGGCAACACGAGCCTCTAAGCTCCCTCCTGCTGCCAGCTTACCCTTCTTGGGGGACCGCATGGAAGGGCCTTGCTCATTGCAACAATGCAAAGGGGGAAGTTCAGCTCTTCTTCACGATGGGGCAGGAAATACCTGCCCACCGTCCTTCAGGTGTGCCTTCTTCGAGAGCAGGGACATGCTTCCCCTTTGGCCCCTTGAACTGTCAGGCTTCCTTAGGAAGAGGTGGCTTATGAGCAGGAAACGGAGGAGCCCCGGTATCACCGCACGGAGACCTTGTTCTACCTGTTGGGAGTCCTTCTTCAGGGCCAGGGTTGGAAGCCAGGTCTCCTGACGTTCGGACCAAAGGGTTCGCTGAGCAAATTCCCGAGAGACAAGGAGCAGCCTCCACTGATTCGGGGTGGGATCAAGCAGCAAATCTGCTTCTGGGGGGCATCGAGTCTGGGGGTGGCAGTGCTTTGGAGCTGGGAACAAGCAATGAAAGCGGTGCACAGACGGAGTTGGGTGCTGGGCCCTGTGCACAAATCAGCTGGGCGTCCACAAGAGCTGGGAGCAAAGAGGCTCAGACTCCCCATGCACCAGCTGGTCACCATGCCCCTTCCTGGACTCATTGGCTGGTAAGACAAAGTCATTTTTTCCCTTGTTCCTGCTACAGCCCCAAAGCAGAGCAGCTGAGAGAACAACCCTCCTCACCCCCCACCCCCAGACAGCCTGAGCTCCCATACCTGCAGGGCCGAGGCGGTAGCATGCAGCCCGCCAGTTTCCAGCCTAGCAGAATATTGCTGCAGGGTTCAGCATCTGGGTCCTCCCAGGTCCTTTCAGATTCAGTACCACGAATCAAACAAAAGCAGCTTATTCCCACGAGCACCTAAATACTCCACGCGCCGGAGCCGCTCAGTCCGGCGGGTTCCTGTCTGAGCACCGGGAGACGGCATTACAGGGGGGCCTTGGCGAGGATGCAGAGGACAGCAGCCGTAATCCCCAGCACGGCGTGGTTGGCTTTCAGCCCCACAACCCCGTTAGGGTTGGAGTTGCAGAGGTCAGTGTAGCAGCAGGAAACGGGATGCTTTACCCCAATTCCCCAGGGAGAGGATGGCACGCAGTTTGAAGAACAGCCTCTGGTAATGGTGATGTTCCCAAAAAATGGATAACCTATGGGGGGAAAAAGAAAGAGAAAGAGTGAAAGAAGGCTTATAATTTGGTGGGGGGCCCTGATGCTCATTTACCGTATTTATTCATTGACCATATTTATTTAGCGGATTTATCCACTTATTCTTTTTTATTATGTACCATATTTCTTATTTATCATATTGATTCATGTACAATATTTACTTACCATATTTATCCACTTATTACTTTTATCATTTAACATATTTAGCATTGATCACATTTACCATATTGATTTACCATACCTATCCACTTATTACTTTTATTATTTACTATATTTATCATTTATCACATTTAGTCATTTACAGTATTTATTTACCATATTTTATTCACTTATTATTTACCGTGTTTATTATGTAGTACTTTTCTTATTGACCACGTGTATTCATTTACTGTATTTGCCATAGCCCCCCGACCCACCACATTTCAAACAGGAATCCATCATTCAAAAACGTTTCTGCCCAGTTGTGGTGTAAGTTTTTTAAAAGAGAAGAAAAGGTCACATGGTTTTCTATACACAATAGATGAGGGAAAGCATCTTCAGAGAGGAGGCGTGAAGTCCCAAAGTGTTGAGAACTACCATGTTACAGCATTTATGAGAATTAGCTTTAGCCTGTGGTCTGCATTTCCCCAGGGTGAAAAGCTTCCCACAGCATTAGCAGTCTTTACTGGAGTCTGGAGTATACGTGGGGGTCTCTTTTAGTCCACCCGCACTCTCATTTCTGGCAGGGGGTCTCAGCTGGCTCTTTTTCCTATTGATGATAGCTAGCAATGTGCCATGAGCACCTGATGGCAGCTGAAATCAGGAAGCATTTCATCCACTTTGAATGCCAGGGTATGCTGCAGGCTTTCTGGATGCTCTTGTTGCTTGTATTCCAAGCTCATTTCAAAAAGGCTCAGGGCATGCAAAGCCTTTGTGCTCAATAACCATGTGTTGCCCATTGGTACCCTCAATGCACCCAATGCTGGGTCTGCACATAGGGAGACTCAGCCTTCTTCCTCTCTTATAGACTATTTCTGGACTTACTCCATTGCAAATTTGAGGGGAAGCAAGTTCGTGTGATGCCAAGTTGCTTCTGCCATGCATCGTTGCCCCAGTGCGTGACAAGTCAGACGGTCTGAGATGCTAGCGGGAAATCAGGACCGACCTTTTCTTTTTTGGCACCAGAATTTTTAGGGAAGCAGAATGAAGAGCGGGACCTGAGGTCCCCACTTTATTTAGGGCTTGTTTCTCCACGATGATGGGCCAAGGCTAGCAAAGCAAGCCTGGGAGACGACATAAAGGAAGCAGAGATGTGATGTGCCACCAGCCCAGAGTCAAATGGATTCTTTTCTTTTCCCCCAAAGTTTCTTTCAAATGTGGGTCTGGACTTTTCCACCTGGATTCCTCTTAGCTGATGCCATAGCCTTGTAGGTTGTTTTAGGTTAACCCATTCTATAAGGTGAGGGAACTATTTTAATGCTTGCAATTAGGAGGATAAAGGTGTTTTCTGTGTTAGCATACAAAGGTGCTTGAGCATCTGAGTTCAGAGGCTAAGTTGGGCTATATACGGTCTTCAGTTTTGCAATATAAGTCAAGCTATATACGGTCTCCCAGTTTTCTTGCTGGGATCCTATGACCCCAGCTGACTTCCTGCCCCTGGGGCAGGGGGCTGGACTTGATGATCTTTCAAGGTCCCTTCCAGCCCTGATGTCTATGAAATCTATGAAATCTATGAAAAACTTGTTTGGCAAGTGCATCTCTCTTAGCTGACTGCTGTGCTTCATACTCTTAGAAACGCCACTTTAGATTTCCAGGCAGATACCATTTATGCTGATTTGTGCCTCAGGCACTTAAGTACCCATATCTTTGCTCTGCTTTCAAGATAATTAGGTGGGGGGTAGCTGACGTTTTAAGGGCTATGGGTTGTAAACAAGCGGTGTGTCAAATAGGGGCAGGTAAAACTACATGCTCCATTTCATTTGCTACATAAGCACAACAGAATAATATAGTTCATTATATACTATATACAGGATAGTATAGTCATATACTTTATTATTGATTAGTGATTTACTTTATTAGTTACTCTATACAGAATAGTACACTTTATATATACTTAGTATACTTATATTAGTTACTATACAGACACTCTCATGGACCCAGAGGGACAGCCTTCCATCTTCAGCTGCCTCCGTGCAAAAATGAAGTTTATTTCCTACCTATTTCCTACAACAAGAAATTGTTTTTTAGATATATAGGGCATAAAAGGAAGGCCCAGGGAGGAATAGGACCCCTGCTAAATGGGCAGAAGCAATTGGTGACGGACAGAGGGGACAAGGCTGAACTCCTCAACGAGTTCTTTCATTTAATGAGTCATTTGAGCAGGTGCAATTTATGTACCCTCTGTGACCCATTGGCCCTTTGGTGTGGCTGAAACTTCTGTGGCAACTAGTCAGAGCAGTCTTTTGATCATAAGGATTACAGCTTATGCTTGGCTCCTTCAGTACTGTTGAGGCAAGATATCCACCTTGTGCACCTGCATGCAGTGCTAGTACCAGTGTAGTAGTTAATAGAAGTACATTTTACATACTATGCTACTAAATGAACCTTGGCTCAATAGATTCAAATTATACCACACCACAGATTTGACATTGTATGAATGTGAAGCTAGATCACGCTGCTTCCATAAAACATTGTGTTGAGGAAATGCAGTGTTCTATATTTGTGATAAACAAGATACTGCTCCAAATGTTTACTTTCCACTAAAGTAAGAAAATTAAACTATAATTTAGAGGGCAGCTTGCACTCATTTTATGGGACAATTTCCAGAAGCAATAACTAGAGATCATGTTACAAATTACCAACATGTTTTTGAAATAGTACATATAACTTCTTAAAATAAGTATACTGCTCACAGGTTATTAACTTGCTTGTACGTATTTCATGCCTATATCATAACACTGCTATATCAAAAGTATGTAATATTACAAACAACACATAACATAATAATCTAAGAAACATATTCATCATATATTCAGACTGCTAGCCTAGCTTGTTTGTAATTAAAATCATAATTTAACCTCTACTTAGTTATTTAATATTTTTCCAGTTGTCTCTCTGTGTTTGGAAAATGTAAAATGCTATGTAAAGACCTGATTATACAAACCGTATTCATGCAAATAAGGATTTTCAATGTGAGGTACTAAATATCAATATTATTAAAACATTTGAATTAATATTTAGACAATTCCAAATTAAGGGAGTAAAAAATTCTCCAACTTTTGATTGACAGAATAAGGCAGGTGTAAATAATAAATGTAGCTGGAGTAGGAAGGTCCCTGCCTCATTCAGATCAAGAGGTGGATTCTTTGTAGTGAATTGAGGTCATAAAACTTCTGCCATATGCAGAGCAGGTAGTGGACAACGGACAGTGTCTGAAGAAGTGTAAGAGTTCACCATGTTCTTAATGAGTATAAAAGTAAATAGTGGAAAGCTTCTGCAGACACAGAGCCACATGGCATCATTTTTATAAGAAAGCCAAGGGCCTTCAGGAATAAATAGCATGTGATTATACAATTAAATACTCTGGGCCAAATGCTTGTGTACCAAACAAGCATTCAGTACACCAGAAGAAAGATGAAGAACAAGATGTGGCTTTCTCACACCTTTCTACCCAATCTCACCATGTGTGACAGTGAGAAAAATTAAGGTCTAGTTCAGCACTTGGAGGAAAACTAACCTGCATGGCTGTCCTTGCCAGGAAGTGCAAGATGCATTAGCTGTACCCATTGCTATATTGCTCAAGCCAAGCATGAGGGTCAAAACTGCATGAAATCCTCAAATGCCTTATACAGTAGAGTTTCTTATCTTATTTACTACCATTTACTCAAATATAAGAATATAAGCAAACCCCCTAATCATTAGTTTGGTTTTAATATATACATGAAGAGTCCGACCTGAGTACTAGCACTGCATATGCAGGGGGTCAGACTCGATGATCTATTGAGGTCCCTTCCGACCCTAACATCTATGAAACTATGAATCTATGGGGACTTTTTACCATCTTGTACCATCTACACTTTTCCCAGAGTCTGACAAAGGGACTTTGATCCCAAAAGGTTGCAGAAAAGGACAATTTAGTTGCCATTTCCCAGTTGGTCTAATAAAAGGTATGATTTTGGAACCCAGAGTTCTAGTTTTTTGTATGTTTACAGTCTAGTAATATACTTTATTTGCTACTGATTTGCTTTATTAGTTACTCTATACAGAATAGTATACTTCATATATATGTAGTATACTTATATTAGTTACTATACACAGACTAGTAATATACTTTATTTACTACTGATTTGCTTAATTACTCTATATAGAATAGTACAATTTATATATACTTAGTGTACTTATGTTAGTTACTATATATAGATTAGTAATATACTTTATTTACTGCTGATTTGCTTTATTAGTTACTCTACACAGAATAATATACTTTATATATACTTTATATATACTTAGTATACTTATATTAGTTACTATATATAGAATAGTCATATACTTTATTATTTACTAGTGATTTACTTTATTAGTTACTTTATACAGTATAGTATACTTTAAAACACCACTTAGTTATGGGCTCTAGCAGCCTAAGAATGAAGCTGCTTGAACCGTGCTGGGCTGGTTATTAGAAATGACTAATTGTCAACATTACTGGTGGGGAGGAGGGGCATTATAAGGGAGGGATCCAGCACTGACTGGGAGTTAGGAAGAGGATGGGGAAGTGACAGATGATTTACTGGGGAGGGCATCATTGCCATGAATCGGGGGTGCAGGCCTTTTGTCATATGTGGGGTGAGACTTACCCGAGTCCACGGACAGCTCTGTTGTCCTGCACGCAAGCTCATTCGGTTTGCAAGTGGCAATCCTGGTGCATCTACGAATATCCGTTGGCGCTCTGCAGGTGTAGCATTGCAGGGACCTGGCTGCAAAGGGAAACCAGATGGGGAATGTCAGAAGTGAGCGAACCAAGCGCTGAGGATGGCCCTGAGTGACTGTTTCTCATGGAAGACAGTTCATTGCATTAGAGGGTGGCACCTCCGCTACTGCCCCACCCACGCAGGGTGCATTATGAAGCATAAAGCTCAAGTCACTAGTCACACTTTAGCTGCAAGATCAGGGCCCAGCTGGCCCCTGTGTCCCCACATTGGGTCCCAGGTCACCTCTGTGCACAGATCCAGTGTGCTCTCTGCCCCGGGGGGCTCCCCACGGGTCCATAAGTTTGCCAGCAGGAGAACAGCCATGGCTGCTATCATTTAAAGGTGTGGTGCCCAACATTCAAAATGCATCCATTTCTTAGTCCCATACCCCCCAGTATTGTTTCAGCTTCTGTTCCCAGGCCTCTTTTCATAAGAAAGGAAACAAATTACTAATTCATAGAAACAAATTACTTTCGGGGTGATATTTCCTAGGTAGCATCTCAGCTCACAGATGAACGTTTAAGTTTGAACAGCTTTGGGACCAACTCCTTATGAGAGTGACTGTAAATGTGCATGTGTGTGTGTGTATGTATGTGTGCATGTGTATTGGTCTCAGTTCTGATCCAGATTAGAAAATGGGGAGATAAACTACCATTTTCCACCGGCACAGCTTAGGGCAGAGTCCAACTGGGGGACTCTCCCAGCCTTCATTCAGGTCTGCTATTGCTCAATGCAGCTGTTGCTGGTGTATGATTTATAGCATTGCTTTATACCAGCTGTTGCTTTGCAGAGTCAGGTCTTTGCACATGCTACCACATGTCTGCTGTTCTGACTCCTTTGTATAAAGCAGTTAGAAAATGCAATATATATCTCCCCTGCCACCTTCTGGCACTAAAGAAGAGCATCATTTTTCCCCTTCCTAATAGTACATCACTAGGCATGAGGTGCTCAGCTAAAAGGGTCCTTCAAAGCTTTGCAGCACCGGCTGGGATTGACTCATTGAAGCCCCCAACTGCGAGTGCATTTCAAAGGCAATCAGGACTCGTAGTAGAGATGATATCTTTGATTAGACCAACAAGATTTTTGCAAAAAAAAGTCTTTAATTGCACTCTTACAGGCACAAACACCCTTCCTCAGGCATTGGGCCCCGGATGTGTTTCATCTCCTTTGCAAATTTGAGCCTGAGCCAGTGCAGGGAGAGCTCTGCTGAGATTGGGGAATATTTTCTTCTCTGCTGTGCACAGGCAGAAGTGACCTAACGAGGGGCAAAGTCAGGCAGGACGAGGCCCCATGGGCCTGCACTTTCAGCCGGTGGAAATGGGTGCAGCTGCAGCCATTTCAGGAGCTGAGGCTCCCTCAGACCAGAAAGAATTGGACTGAACCAGGTCCCAACTAGCCCAAGGTCCTGTCTTCAGCGGGGGGCAGGAGCAGCGACAGCCGAGGGACCCCTGAGTATGCAGAGCAGGGCTAATCTAATCTGCTCCCCTCCTTTGCAATCTGAGCCCAGCTCCTGATCACTCCGGATTCACTTGAAACCAGAAGCAGGAGCTTTAGCAGCAATTGCTGGGCCGCTCCCCAACCCATGCTCCTCCTCGCAGTATAAGCACCTGCACTGGGGAGTTGAGTGGGAGTTGTCCATCCTGCCCTTAACCAGACAGGCCAGGCAGAGGCCGTGTCAGCTCTGATCAGTCTTTGGCCCCACTGCTTTGTTCCCAAATCTCTTCACACGTGCACACACACATGCACACACAGCCCCAATAGATTATGGTTGGGTGGGATGGTTTGGACAGGGCTGGTCCTGCTTCAGGCAGGGGTTGGAGTAGAAGTGGCCTCTGCAGGTCCCTTCCAGCCTCACTTTTCTAGGACCCTTATGACAATCCCTACATGTCTTACCCAGCTGAAGCAGCATGGGATGTCCCTAGGCTTTGTTTCTTTCTCCTCCTTCCCCTAGCACCCATGCTGACTGGGCATGCAACACCAGTGTCCTGACTGTGAAGTGCTCTGCATTTGCTTTCTTTGCTTTCCGCTTCATTTGCTTTCCACTGTGCCTGACAGTAAAGCAGCTCAGGATCACAGCACCTCTCTCTGATCTAACAGTGCCCCCCTTCTCCCACCCCCTAATCCCTCCTGAAAAGCAATCCTTGCAATCTCCTATGCCTGATGAAGGGCGTTTGTGCCCAAAAGCTTGCAAATATATATATATATTTTTGGTGCAACTATCTAGTTGGTCCAATAAAAGATATATCACTTCTGCCATGAGTTTTGAGTCCTATGCCTCTTCTTTTGCCTTCTTGCTTCTTGGAAGAAACACATCCCCCACCATCCCCAAGCCTTTCCCAACCCCACCACGTACTCCATGAGACTCCAGCAAAAAGCCCCTATGGTCCCATCTTACCAGGCTGTACACATGCAGATGCAACCACCAGAACAACCAGAAAGGCTTTCATCCTCAGCAGGTCCCTTTAGCTGGGGTGGCAAAGACCCTGAACAGCAAGGAGCAGCTTCCTGGCAGCTTTATATTCTCTCCAGCCCCATGGGTGGATTCTCCGGGAATGATGGGGAGCGAATCCCTTTGTTTCTCATTGGGAATTGCAGCAGAACGGGTTCTTCGCATAGAGAGGCAATGAGGTCACTTGGCAGGGCGCTGCTTCCTTTCTTGCCACACGCCGGCATCTCTCCGAGAGCAGGGCCCCGGAGGCAGAAAACAAGAGGAAAACAAAAAAAAATAAATAACAGCAGCAGCAGCCTGATTTTGATCTGCAGCCGATTAGCCTGGGGACCTACCGACCAGACAGAAGGGGCTGGGAGGAACCCACTAGCTTAAATCCAGGTAGCCTGGCTGAAGATGCAGAAGAATGGAAATCAGGGGTGCTGGGGATAACCTGCAACTGGTGTGGGAGTCTCTGGGGTCGAGGCTTTGCCCCTACATCAAGGCTGAACCTGGCGTGCCGGTAGCAGTGTGGATGCACTCTGGGATGATCTCAGGAAGCTCCTTCCCATGCAATAGCACGGCTGTTTGCCCCCCGAAGCTCCAAGACCCACTCAGCAATGGTTGTTGGGCTGTCATGCCCCCTCTGAAGGATGCTCGGTCTGGAGGAAACTGCATAGAAACCTCGGGCAGCAGCAGAGCTGAGGGCAGGGTGCGAGCCTGGACGACCCCTGAGGTCCCTTTTAGCCCTGTGATTCCAAGGGGGTTGTGTGTCCTGGTCCGATGGCACGGACCATCCAGCCGTGATGTGATGGCCCATCCAGCTGTGAGCACATGTGGCTGTGCTTGAAACACCTGGGCTGGTTCTCTTCCAGATGCTCAGGAACACGGGACTGGAAATGGCTGTGAACTCCAGTCCGCTGCGTCCACACATCCAGAAGACCACGCTACTCTGAGCCCTTGGCGTTCCCTGTGCAGATATGGCAGATACTGTACGGTCTGGTTTGATGTTTCCCTCATTGAGGCAAATCTTCCCTGAGCATCAGCAGCTCAGACAAAGGGAAGTCAGGGCGGCGAAGATGCTGCCCTAAATCCCTGGCACGTGGGTTCAGGCTTATGCTACCGACTCCATGTGCCTTGTTCTGGGCAAGGTGCTAGATTCCTTTACCTCAAATGTATGTCAAACGTATGGCTCACGCCCAGTGCCATACCTAGACTCCCGGTGGCCCCAGATGAACTTTTAGTATTGGGCCCCTCTTCCCCAGACATAATGATTTTTTGGTTGCAAAAGTCTTTATCACATCTGTGGTACTGATGTCTTTAAATAGTTTGTTCTTCATTGATAACATTGCCAGTCCCTTAGATGTGCAATATTAAACCTTTTTTTTTTTTTGCAATTGTAATTTTTGGGTTTTTTCATTTTTAGGCCCCCTTTCTGTCTGGGCCCCAGGTGGCTGCCCCGTTCGCCCATGCCTGTGTCCGAGTCTGCTCATGGGCTGGGTCTGTCCGGTCTCCGTGTGGTCTGGCTTGCAGGGCGCTCGGGGGCTGGGAATTTGGGGTGACGGCATGGAGAGCCTGGAGTATCCTTGGCAATGCATATTGGCAGGGGCAAGTGATAGCTGTATTAACCCCTCTGCTGCTGCCTCTCTCCTGCCACAGCCATGTGGATCCAATAGCCCCATAGTCTGGATCCGGGCCAGGCCATGTGGATCCAATAGCCCCTGCTCCAGCCTTTGCTCCTGGTCTCTGAAATGGTGCAGAAGTGTCTCCTTTTAGGAACTGCTCAGAATTTGCTGGTTAACAAGGGGTTGAGGCCTTATTTATTTATTTATTTAATTTTAATAATCAACTTGAAAATGTCTTTTTTTCCCTAAAGTTTTTAACCATTTTCATGACATTTCATTCCGAAAAGAAAAACAAACCCAAACAAGGACTTCCACGACAGTAACATGCTCCATCCCAACATGTTTTGAATGGAAATTTTTTATTTGGGTTTTTTTTTGGTTTCAAAGTGACTTTTCAAGTTTTAAATTCCTTGTTCTGAACATATACAGTTTTACAATGAAGACCGTTGGAAGAGTATACGTGTCTTGATCTTGCAGATATAAATCCCTTGTTTTCACTAAATGAAACATTTCATTGGAGTTAATGAAATAGATTAAAAACAATTATCCTCATTCTCATCATCATCATTCTGTTCCCTAATAGAAAAAAAAATCAGAGCAATTCCTCTGAAACAGAAACAGTTTAAATCATGGAAAAATCAAATCAAATCAAATCAAATCAAATCAAATCCATTAATGCTTGTGAGCTACAATATTGGGAAGGCTATAAGTTAATAGGATGTTATTACCATTTCCCCCATGGGGACATCAGTGTTGCATCAGCCTACTGCAAAAGTGTGTTAAACTCCTGCCCTTGCAGTATTTTCTTCCCCTATTCAACCGCAGAGGAGTTTTAGACAATGAAACATGGTTGTGCCCTCCTGTCGTTTATATATTAGATTGCCACTGTGGGCAATCTCGGTAATAACTGGAAAGATGAGTAATTAGGATTTCTACTGCCGGCAAACACAAGACGAGGCAGGCTCGAGCACTGGGCGGGAGCTTGGGTGGGGGACTGCAAGAATTGGACCTCCTTCCATGTGTTCCCATAGTTTTAGGCTGGAGCGTGGAGGGCGGGGAAGAGAACCAGCTGATATGTCAAAAAAAGTTTGGCCTTCTGTCTGTACCAACAAAAAGGCCAACGTGAAGAAGACTTAGAACAAATGCCCCACCCTGGGTGTAGCCTTGCCAGGCAATGAGGAGTTATACAAAACAAGCCGGCAGGTTGGGTGACGTGCAGCTATTTTCTTGAAACATGGGCAGGTCAAGGCATACTTGAGCAAGAAGTCATCCATGCCCATGACCCAGGGCTTTGGGTGCCAGAGCTGGTTTGAGCAGCATTAACTGGGGAATGCGGGATGGATCAAAATCAAGTCTTCACACCTGCTTGACGGGGTTGGGACTAGTGGCTACAGCCCTGTGCTTTGCTCCAGATATATCCCTGTACCACGGTCAGCACTGTGGTGCCGTTGGGGCCAGCCTGGTGCCCTGTAGTACCTTGGTTCTTTACTCTGCCGACCCCAACTCATCGGGTGACCCTGAGCTCCCTTCAGACGGTGTCCAATTGGGGCATTCGTTTTGGTTGCTTCCATTTTTCAGGGCCCAAGCCCCAACCCTTCCTCAGTGGTGGCACCTCACTGCTCCCCTCCCATCTCTGCTTGTGGCCTTGATTCCCAGCTGCACTCGCATTGGTTTCTGGATTGCATTTTAGGTGAGGCCAGCTCATTACACACCCCTCCTGGCACCGTGTTACCACAGACCTTGGTTGACTTTGGCCAACGCATCTTCATAGCAACCCCATGAGGAACAGCAGCAGCATCCTCCCTGCTTGTACCGACTGGGATGGCAGTCCAAAGAGGGAGAGGAGGTTTCTCAGGGTCTCCACAGGACAGAGCTGGGGCTAGAAGAAGAGGAGACAAAACCAAGGGTACTAGCCTAACTCCATATCTGCACCATCAGAGATGCTGAACCATGGAGGATAGGCTTGGGTTGGAGCTACCAGCTATTTTCCAAGGGTAGGACATCACCATAACATCTCCAGCATGCAATGTCCACGGGGTTATTTGGTCTAGCTCCTCATGGCAGTGGGGCATGGAGCAGTCATAAAGGGAATTTAGAGCAAGCTTAGAACATAGTCAGGACACTGCCAGGTCCCCAAGACTCATCTTGGACAAACTCAATGAATGCATTGAGTCCAAAAGTGAGTGAGCCCAAAAGATCATCTTGGACAAACTCAATGAATTCACTGAGTCCAAAAGTGGGTGAGTCCAAAACATCATCTTGGACAAACTCAATGAATGCATTGAGTCCAAAAGTGAGTGAGCCCAAAAGATCATCTTGGACAAACTCAATGAATGCATCTGAGGAAACAGGAGCCCAAGAAGTCACAGAGAAGGAGAGGGGTTGTTCATGGGGAAGATAAACTAGCGTGTTAGCCAGGCATCCTCCATGGGGCAGGGCAGCAAACCACCTCCCTGCAGTTTTGGACACCAGTAGGCACAAGCCTTTGGGGCTTGAGAGTGATAATCCTGCTTGGTCCTGGCATGAGGAGTGTGCAGTATGGCACTTCACTCCAGGAGCAGCATTAGCTCCCCCTACCATAGCACGGTTTGCTCCAATGACTTGTGAACCAAGTCAGGAAAGAGGAGAGGTGGATTCAGCCCCTTCAGAGAGGCAAAGCATGCGTGACCGATGGACTTCAAAGGAAATGTGGCAGTACTCAAAGGTGCGATGACAGCAGTGTGGATGCATCATACTTCTCCACAAGGGCTTGAAGGGGGCAAACATCCAGGGAATGGAGTTACATAGAAAATAGCAATCTCAGCTTATCCATCCACCGCTGTGGTGTCTTGTGTCCCAAATGCTCATGCAGAACACCAGGGGAAGCAATGAATGGTAGCAGCGGTTGTCACCCAATACCCATTAAACTCAAGGAGAGTCTTTAAATTGACTGGGAAAGGTTTTAGATTTGGGCATAGAAGAGAGAGAAAATCCACTTCTCAGGTGTTTGAAATGATAGAGTAAATTAATTAAATGCTGGAGTGGGGACAGGGCAGAGATGTGCTAGAGTCATCTTGGGGGTCAGTGATCCTCAACCAGCTTTCTACAGCGTGCCATGAGTTCCTCTTAAGGGTGCTGTGCAATGCTAGTGCCATTAGGGGTGTAAACACTTACACGTGATTCACAAGATAAACCCAGAGGTTTCACACAGGAAACCGGAGCGGCAGACACTTTCTGACCTGTTGCGGGCTTCCGGAGGTCTTTGCAATGGAAGAGTTGCTCTGGTATTTTTCTATAGTCAAAAAATGAGTGAAAACTAAGAGCTGGCATTTTTCTATGCAGTGCCTTGAGCCTCCAAAGCTGAGAACTGCTGTTGTAGGTGATGAGAGACAGGTGAGGATAAATCTTAGCTGGCCTTTCCAGCACCACCCTCATGGGTGTG